TTAATGGACAGTTTTGATTATTTTAGAAGAAATGGAAATTTAGTTAATAACATCAATGAAAATGAGAAAAATTATCCTGACCGAATCCAAATCTGAGCAGATTAGATGAAATCCCTGAAACCACATATTCTTTTTTTTTTTTTCTTTTTTGCAGTACGCGGGCCTCTCACTGCCGTGGCCTCTCCCGTTGCGGAGCACAGGCTCCGGACGCGCAGGCTCAGCGGCCATGGCTCACAGGCCTAGCCGCTCCGCGGCACGTGGGATCTTCCCGGACCGGGGCACGAACCCGTGTCCCCTGCATCGGCAGGCAGACTCCCAACCACTGCGCCACCAGGGAAGCCCCACATTCTTTACTAAATAAAAATTTACTGAGCCAACAATGAGACTATATGTGAGCTTCCATTTTCTTACTTCTTCTAGCCCACAAATGTTAGTGGCAAGCTTGCCTTAGCTATGTGGTAGAGTTTACCAGTTAGTTGGCGAGCAGTGAGGAAACTTATGTCAGAGGAATGATGGCAATACATGTCATTCAGAGCCAAAATATCTGAAAAAATGTGATCTATTACTCAGGAGGCAGATCATGAGTCCATTGAACTTGAAGCTCTAAGCTGAGGTTGGAAAACAGATAATTAATAGTATTTGTAGGTTGTAGTGTGGGTTCAAGAAGATATTATAAAAGTATTTAAAACACTGGCCAGTTTGGAAGCAGAAAGAGAGAATCAAGAAATGTGGGGCTTTTGAGAAATGGAAAAGGAGCTGCTTCTATATAAAAGGCTTTGAGAGACCAATGTTGTAAAACTTTCATGTGATTAAAAGCCTCAGGGCAAAGAGAAGATGAAGTATGTGATTCCAAGGAAATCCTCTTAATTGATTAAAAATTGCCTCAGCAAATGGAACAGGTTAAGACTGTACCCATTTCTCCAAAATTCATGTTTCAAGGTAACTGGCATTAAGATGAAAAAGAAAAGCAGCAGGGTGAGAAAACAAAGAAATAAAGATTTGAAAATTTCTCCAAACTATACTTTAAGCATGGGTATTGGTACTTGGAACTGACTGGAGGCATATAGCTGAAAGACCTTCAGAGTTTTGGAGAGAGGTGTATTCCCAAAGATACTGTAAACCTGTTATGAAAAAGCAATGAATGCAAGATATTTTAATGACTCTTAGACCTTAAACTTCTGTGGGCAGAAAGCAGTCTGAGAAGGCTGTGTAGCCCTCAAAGATGGCATATTTCCCAAGGCCCCCTTCAGACCGGTCCAAGGAGAATGAGGGATAAGGAAGAACATTTTTTTTTTTTTTTGCAGTACGCGGGCCTCTCACTGTTGTGGCCTCTCCCCTTGCGGAGCACAGGCTCTGGACGCGCAGGCTCAGCGGCCATGGCTCACGGGCCCAGCTGCTCCACGGCATGTGGAATCCTCCCGGACCGGGGAACGAACCCGTGTCCCCTGCATCCGCAGGCGGACTCTCTACCACTGCGCCACCAGGGAAGCCCTGGAAAGGGTTACTTTAAATGTATAAGTATAGGATAGCATTCCAAAGCCTTGATGCTATTTAATATATAACCTACAGTTTGAAGATTTCAAACTATTTTAGAAATTTTGAACTGATGAATTGATGTCAGGTAGATCACTCAAAAATTTGTAATTCAGTTGGTAATTACAAAGAAAGAGGAAGGAGATTAAAGATATGGGCTTGACAGATGAAGAGGAAACCTGGAAAATTTTTAAAAACTAAGATTTTATTTGTAACATTTAGGTTATTTTCATGCTGATAAAGTGAACCATTATTTTCCTATATATAAAATGCAACACTTTCACCACACAGTGGTGCTATTGTTCTGGTATATTTTACATGTGATTTTGTATATAACCCCCTTTACTAAGAGCATTCTATTTTTGAAAGCCTTTTGTCAGTCATACTTATGATCTGGTTGCATAGTCACATCCCTTATGTCAGTTATATCAACTTTAATTTTCTTACCGGAAAGACAATCGCAACTTGATACATTTGTGCATAGGAATAATTAGTTTCCATCTCTCTTCTTCTTAAACAGATGTGCTAAAAGAACAGCTATGTAAAAGAGGTGTTCGTATTTTGACTGGATTGAGAAAATACCTTCAACAATTGGACAAGGAAGGAAATGAACTTTTAGATAAGGCAGATTTCCCAGGGAGATCAGCTCCGTGCTTTGTGACCGCCTGGAGGGGTGGGATAGGGAGGATGGGAGGGAGGGAGACGCAAGAGGGAAGAGATATGGGAACATATGTATATGTATAACTGATTCACTTTGTTATAAAGCAGAAACTAACACACTATTGTAAAGCAATTATACTCCAATAAAGATGTAAAACAAAACAAAAAAAGTATTTCACTTAGAAGTGTCCGAAAATGTATGTACCACAGATAATTCTCTGCAGTGAATGACATAATATTCTTCAGTGGTCTTATTCACTTTTCTACTGAAATTTTAGTAGTTCATTTGTCTCCTTCTTTATGCCTCGTTATCAGTGTTAAGCCATCAGGCAAGTCCTGCTGATTTTTAAAACGTCAACATTCATCCCTCCCTCATATACTTATTAAGAGCCTAATAAGTGGGCATTGTTCTAAACTCTGAGAAGACATACTCTGTACTCTTAAGGTCTTCATAAGCAAAGGAAAGAAAAATATAAATGATTACAAAACAACATGATAAGTGTTAAATAGAGAATGCTTTCAGAACATGTGAGATAAATTGCAAGCCAGGTTAAGGAGAAGGAAGTTCATAGGATTTCTGGGAGAAGGAAGTTCATAGGATTCCTGGAGGTGGGTATGTGTCAGAGCTGAGTTTTGAAGGATGAGGAGGAATGAAGCAGACAAGAGGGTAGGAGGAGCGTGGATCCGACAATAGCTACTTCAGGAAAGGGAGAAGCACATGTGAAGGCTTCCAGGGGAGAGGGAGTGCGGCAGGTTCCAGGAATTGCCCCAGAGGTTTCACCCCTACCTTTCCCTCTGCTGTGAGTAATCTTCCACCAGACCTTTGCATGGCTGACTTTTCTCATCATTCAGGTTTTCTCTGCTAAGAACACTACACTGACACTGCCATCTAAAGGAGCATCCCATCTGATCCCTGATGCTCTCCATACCATTTATCCATTTTGTTTTCTTTATACCACTTTGTATATATTCTCTGGCTCTGTCTGCAGTAGAATGGAAGTTCCATCAGGGCAGAGACCAAGGTGCTTCTTGTTTCCTGCTCTATTTCTAATACCTCGAATAGAACCTGGCGTTTGGGAGGTGCTGAATAAATAGACGATGCATGAGTTGAAATAGATAGATAGGTGGAAGGAAGGAAAGGAGAAGAATGGAGAGAAATAAGCCTAGCAGGGTCCATTACATTAAAGCTTTGCACGCTATGCTCAGAAGTTTGGATTTTATCCTGAGTGTATATGAATTTGAAACATGTCTACCTCAAGGGTTTTAGATAAGGCATTCTCTTGCATTGTTCTCTTTTGCTTCAAATCGTCTTGTCACAAGATATAGTGCATTTTGTGGGAGGAACACTGGAAATTGAATTTATGAGATCAAGGTTCAAGTTCTAGCCTTAACATTTGAAATGTGTGATCTTAAATAGGCCTTTTCACTTTTCTGACAGACAGACTCTGCTGGAGCAATCCAGAGATAATAATTATAGTCAGAGTTGCTTTGAAACTCAAATGAGAAAATTACATGCTTTATCAATTGTAAACTTCTGTGCTAGTATGGTATTGCTTATCATTGCTGTGCCATACCTGTCTTGTGTTTTTTACAATGTTTAACCTTGTGGCCCACCTAGTGACACACACTAGGGATTATCTAACTTCATCTCTTCCTTGCATTAATAATAATAATAATAGTAATAAAACAGCAATAGAAAATTAGAAAGATGTGGTGTCTTATACCCTGTTTTTTCTTTTCCTCTATAATATCACTGGAGACTGCCCATGCAATGAGAAGCAAAAACAAGAACATAAGAATCACCAACCTGGGTCTAATTCTGGCACTAGTTTGGGGGAAGGCAAAGTCATTCTTACTAATTTGAAATTTTAAAAAATTGGTATGCCCCCTAAATAGCCTAATTTATATAGAGATACTATCAATAAATATACCTTAGTTTTTTTTTCAACTGAATTATCATTTTCCATCCTGCACCATATTTTAGAAAGAGTTATATAAATTTGTTGCAACTTTTGGTAAATTATTCAATTCTTGAAAAATGTTTCTTTTAAGCTTCTAGCATTATCTTTTAATTCTAGTATCCCTTGAGTTGGGTGAACAAATTCATCTTCTATCCATATTACGTATGATTTTAAAGATTAAGCTCATTTTCACTCTTAAAAGCTCATTTTATAGACCTTAAAGTCTTTTTATGTACAGGGCATTACAACAGACCAAAAAAAATGTATGGATTGTTGAGAACTGTGGGGGGGTGGGGCAGGGCGTCTTAAGTTTCCTTATTAAAATTTTAATTGAAAAAATTAGAAGGAAACGGAAGAGAATATTTTGGGGGTAACCATTATTTGTCAGTCACCTTGCTAGACGTTTTATTTATATTCTCATTTAAAGCTAACTACTTGACTGAAATATTGAAAATCTATTTACCTGAGTTTAAGAAAATCTCATACTGTATTTTTGTTGTTAGGAACTTTATGAATAGAATACTCTATTAAATAGTGCATTTGCCAAAGAAGTAAGTGGCAATGGTGAAATGAATAAATTGGCATAAGGGATCTACTCAAAACAGCACCTTTCAGTGTAAATCATGGAATAATTGTTAGAGTCATTCAAATCTCTTATACTTTCAAGTATGAAGACTAGCAGAAGTACAGTCAGTATCTTAATGCCTTTTGGAGGCATTTCAGTAAGTGAAGTGACTTCTTAATTGTCACTGATATAATACATTAAAGATAATGAAATGGTCAAATTCAAGTGAATGGTAAGCATTTTTTATTGAAAAAAAATAAATTTAAAAAGATACATTTGGGGCTTCCCTGGTGGCGCAGTGGTTGAGAGTCCGCCTGCTGATGCAGGGGACGCGGGTTCGTGCCCCAGTCCGGGAAGATCCCACATGCCGCGGAGCGGCTGGGCCCGTGAGCCATGGTTGCTGAGCCTGCGCGTCTGGAGCCTGTGCTCCGCAACGGGAGAGGCCACAACAGTGAGAGGCCCACGTACCTCAAAAAAAAAAAAAAAAGATACATTTGTGATTTATTGCCACTCTTAAATGTTTCTTAACTTTATGGAACTGTCCACTACAGAGTTCCTCTAAATAAGCTTTTTTAGTGCCTTTGATTGGATTTATATGTAACTTTTTGGAATTTTCTTATTAAGTCCACTACCTTGTCTAGGGCTACAACAGATGCAACAAAATGCTATTATGATGATTATTGTTGTAGCCATATATAACTTAAAGGTGTAACAGTTGTCTCTGTGTGATTATTTCTAGGATTTTGAGTCTTTGTGGCTAATTCTAAATGGTTATGGCAATGGCAAGGTTGATTACAGAGAATTCAAGCATGCCGTTATAGGTGAAATGAATGAATACAGAAAATCATTTGTTCAAAAGGAAACGAAGTAATCTTTCAAATAGTTACTTTTAATAGATTTTTAGGTTCTTTCTTTTAAATCTTTAATGAATTACCTTTGAAAATATTTTAAATTCCTTTCCCTGTAATGTATTTTGGGTTTAGTAAAACACAAACACACACATACAAATCTACCCAGTATAAAGCGACATAACTTATGCCTATGTTTTAGGAAAATATTATAAAAGGAAAATAAAATCTGAAATTAAATTTCAGTTCACAAATTACTAATTCCATAAATTGCTGGCTCCATATAGCTATATGTCTATATCTATTATTAAATATTTCCAAGCCTCAGTTTCTTATCTCACAGAACTGGTCTAAGGTATTACATGTAAAATTATGAGCATTATAGCTGTCCCAGTGTCAAGGCTCAATGCACATTATCTTAGGATGATGACTAAAACACGTTTCTCTACTTTTTAAATATGCATGCTAAATGTTAAAATGAAGATTAAAATGATCATGTTAAATTGTAAATTAAAAACAGGAGCTCTGACTTATGTAGGAGAGAAGATATTACTTAGGTTCTGGTAGCCATTTTGAGAGCATGCTTTTGAGCAATGTAGTTTTCTTTTTCTTTTGTATATGTACCTAATATAAAAGGTATATTTATCTAATACTGAAACAAAGCTATTGTGAATAGGGTAGTATGAACAATTACATCGGGTACAAATCTCCAATAGAAAATGTCAAAATCTTTATCTTTACTGGCCAAAAGACAAAATAAAAACCTTATGTTAAAAAAATTCATCACATAATATTTATAAATTTGCATATATTTTTACCTTACATGTCCTAGTGATAGGCGTGAGTATCAGGAGTAGAAACTGGAGGGTTGTCTCTTTCATAAATCTTGGTCCTGGGAATAGAGGACAAAAGTAGACTTAGTTTGCTAGGGCTACCATCACAAATACCATAGGCTGGGTGACTTACACGACAGAAATTTGTTGTCTCACAATTCTGGAGGCTAGAAGTCCAAGATCAAGGTGTCATTAGGTTTGGTTTCTCCTGAGGCTGCTTTCCTTGGCTTGTAATTAACTGGCTATCTTCTCCCTGTGTCCTCATGGGCATCCCTCAGTCTGTGTTGTCTGTGTCCTAATCTCCTCTTCTTATGAGGGTACCAGTCATATTGGATTAGGGCCCACCCTAATGATTTCATTTTACCTTAATCACCTCTTTAAAGGCTCTATCTTTTTCTGCAGTCACACACTGAGGTACTGGGGGTTAGGGCTTCAACATATGAATTTTGGGGAGGATGCAATTCAGCCCATAACAGGTACCACATACCTGTGACATTATTGTGAATAAACAAACTTGATTCTAGTTTTGACTCATCTGCAAATGAAGGATGGTGCTTTTGGTCAGTTGTATGTTTCTATAGACACACTCCTCTTCTCAATAAAATATATTTTATGATCCTCAGAATTGCATTGAATTAGAGGAGTGATAAAACAACTAGCATTTCGAAAGGTAGTGTTAAATTTCAGGAAATAGAGTAACAAAACCCATTTAAGAATTACTTAACTTTCTCATTGATCTTAGTACTAGAATATTTGCAGGTTTACTTTCTGACTCAAAATACTCCTGGTCATTTGTCTTGGCCATTTATCAATTTCATGTGATTCGTAGAGCTGAAAGTTACCTGAGAGGTCTTTTACCCAACTCCTCAGTGTGCAGAAGAGGAAAGCCAGGGTAACAGAGGTTAAGTTACCTTCTCAAGGTCAGGGTGCTAGAAAGTGGTAGTGCACCTTAAGTGCAGGTTACCTAATATCTTGCTCCAATATCTTCCTCCCTGTTTTCATGATGCTTCCTTCATATACCAGTATAGTACTTTAAACTGTCTTGTTTAGAGGTCAAAAATAACCTACTGCAGAATAGAAAATTAGGTTCTAATGATTTCATAGAAAAAAATAACACTTCTCTCTTTAGGCCTTTATGAAAATGGATTTTAACAAAACAGGCAGTGCGTCTGTTATAGACATAAGAAAATGTTATTGTGCAAAGAAGCATCCTTAAGTAATTTCAGGTAATCATTACAAGTCAAAATACATTAGATTTGGGGGGGACCTTGAAGATGGCGGAAGAGTAAGACGCAGAGATCTCCTTCCTCCCCACGGATACACCAGAAATACATCTACACGTGGAACAACTCCTACAGAACACCTACTGAAGGCTGGCAGAAGACCTCAGACCTCCCAAAAGGCAAGAAACTCCCCACGTACCTGGGTAGGGCAAAAGGAAAAAAAGAAAAAACAGAGACAAAAGAATAAGGACGAAACCTGCACCAGTGGGAGGGAGCTGTGAAGGAGGAAAAGTTTCCACACACTAGGAAGCCCCTCCGCGGGCGGAGACTGCGGGAGGCGGAGGGGGAG